GGCAGTTGGTTGGTTTCTGCTGGAGATTTTAAACGAACGCACCTATTGTATGTATGTACATATCGCTCATTTACTTCAATAGTATCATAACTCAAAAAAGGGAGATCGAGAAAAACGGCTTTAAAGTTATGAATTTACACATACCTACTTCCATTGTAAAAATACATACCTACCTTGTTCTAGTGAGATTCTGGTAATCGATACAGCTATGAAATTCTTACGCGATCTAGAAGAAGAGCTAGCGGTAATTTCTACATACTCAACTAAATTTTTGTATTTTTCTGGATTATGACACTATTGGAAGTAAATTTGAATCAGCGATATGTACGTATGTATGTATGCATATATGTACATATGTATGTATGTTTTTATGTATATATATGGAGGAGAAGCTCGGCCAAATACTAACATATGTGTAAGCGCCAATCTATTATTATTATGGAATGTTCCATGTTAAACGGACCAAAGCTGTGTCCAAAATTCTATGGGATAGAAATTAACGTAAAGCATGTCAAAAGACTCGCGAATTTATAATGTATCAAATAAACCGGGGCAGAATTGAAAATTCAGTATTACGTAAATGCTGCGATCCTAGACGACGCCATGTCCGTAAATGCGTAAATATGTCATTCCGTTTGTTAAAATAGTTGTCAGCTATTTGATCAAGAAGGATTCTAATGTTTTTAGCGTCGCTGGTCCCGAATATAGCATCAGAATTTCGATATTCAAAATGGCGGATCCAACATGGCGGAAGATTTTTATAAAATTTATCGGATTCACCTAGAATTCGTTACTCGGGGGACATATGGGTCGCTGATTACGAATCAGAAATAAGATTGGAAAAAATCAAAATGGCGGACCCAATAAGGGGGATTAAAAAATCAAAATCGATTGGATTCGTTTAAAATTTTACAATTGGGAGTTTTTAAAGTCGCTGATTATGAATCTAAAATCAAATTTAAAAATTCAAAATGGTGGATTCATATTGGATGTACCATAAATTTACGGAAAGCTAAAATTGAAAGTAAGTACGTGGCGTATGAGTAATATTTAAGAAAATTAAAAAAAAAGTCTGATTAGTACTAATCGGAGGTAGAAGCTCCGGTTAAACACAACGACTGCTTTATCGATCACATGTTATATGAATGATGTCGAAAACGTCGATAATGATGTACTGCTGATAACCAAACCTTGAACAACCGGTCCTTATAACTCAACCAGCCACCAACGTAAAACCGTAGAACGCGTCAGCTGACGCGACCTATCATAAAGCAGACGGCAGTGTTGGTCCGGATCAACTCGTTAATTCGGAATTATCTTGGGAATTAACTGCAGTTGATCCGGATTAAGTCCTAGAGTTAATTCCCAAACTTAACTGGGTTCAACGAGTATTCGATGACAACACTGACGAAATCTCGGAGAGCGTAGAATACAGAGAAAGTAAAACACTAGCATGGACATATACCTTTTCATCGGTAATGCAGTCACCATGCTAATTCAGATAGGAATCCAACTAAAATTGAATGGGCCTCCGCACACTGGACTGCTCAGTCCGCCTAAAACCGGTTTTGTGTGGATAAGAGGGGGAAGAGACATGAACCAAAAATACAAGATCACGGCGGCAGGAGAGTAGCCCGTTAGAATCGCATTCAGGAAAAAAGTTTAACGATTTTGACATTAGCCGTTTGTTTACATTTCTTCGTTGTTTACAATTTGGTGGTGGCTTTTTACTGCAATTTTCTTCATTTTCGCCTGTGACAACGTGTGTACACATAAGATAAAGAATAATTTAACACAACGGCATGATTTATAGAAGAACTTGCATAATAAAAATGATTATTCATGCGTTCAACAATTTCGCGGTTTTCTCCGTTCTCTTCGTTGTTTACTTCTTACAACAAAGATGGCGTCGAGATTTCGGCAGCTAGAAAAAAACTTTTTTCTTTCTTTCCTTCCCGCGTGATCTTGTGTCTTTCGTTCATGGGGAAGAATTCGAGTTTACCTCGCTCATTTCAGTCCGCGAAATTCGCGGATTGACGGTGGACTGACACGCACACATAGACAACATGTTTTCTATTTCGTTTTGTTTTACAAAACTGAAATCAGGGCATGAACCACGTAACTTTGAAACGATTGCCGTTCAAACGATACCGACAAAACACTGATTCATGTATTTGCGTTGCTGTTACGTGTTACTATTACTGTTACGTGAAGCAAAATTTGAATTGTGTGGACGATTTCGCACAAACGATCGAACAGTTTTTGGTTTCCATGAAACAAGACAATCTCAGCACGATATCGTCCAGACGATTGTCGTCATACGTGATTCA